ACTTACTAGAGCCTTTATGTCCCATACATCTAGACCTAGTTTTATGCAACATGCTATAGTTACCTAACACTTGCAGTTATAGGAGTTACCTGTTTAACCACTACGTTACACTATTTCTACCTTTGTAAAGTTCACTAGAATCCCAGTACCCATCTTTCCGGCATCTTTTCCATCATCCCTTACTAGTCGCAACTCAGAACCGTTAGTCTCATTTATCCAGACTACCAATCCAGATGGCCCGGTATGGTATACTTTTGTATTCTTTTCCTCCGGCGAACCTGACGGCCTGGTTGGTTATATGCTCTTCTACACATATTTGCCATCCAGTTTTAATCTTCAGTTTCTATGAAGGTGTTTCATGGACTTCAACCGGTCCAATGGTACTGTTGAAAGTTTATGCTACCTCTTTATTTGGGAATTTCTAAGTAGGTTTCTGTCACCTCGGTTCCTTAGTTTTCTACACCTGGTGGACTTATCGTGGGTTTGTACCGAAGTCTTATGCAACACCAGTTAACATTCCTCTATGTACATGTAATGTTACACTTCACATAGATGCCTTGAGCTCCCAAAGCCAGGGGACCCAGCCTGGTGTACCTGGGTAACAGTCACATGAGGCCAACCAATTGACAGGAGACAGTTACCATAACACAGATATAATTTCCAAATTTCGTCATAGGTGGGATTTGAATCTTAGACCTGCCATTTGAAAGATGACAACCCAACCACTACACTAGAATTACTATCCTCGTTCAAATAAAGTTTGTAAATTTATTTATTTGATAAATTTAATAAAAATTATCAAGACAATTTGTCTTTAAATAAAAAACATGCTATGAACATTTATTCTGAAAAGTAATTATTAAAATTCTTATTATTATAAATTGGTTTTTCATTTATGAAAAATCTTGAATTCCAAGATGTTGTTATCAAAGCAGATTATGTTAGAGTCTTTCTGTCTTATTGTGGTCCCATAAGCAATGAGCACAAAGGTGTATTCGTTATCTTCAGCAGCACTAATTTTTATTGATAAATTATTTTTATTGATCTTCATGATAATTTTTTTGTGTTTTTCAAACATAAATGTGAACTGGTTATGTTAAGTTATCAAACTACTCTGAGGTGTTGAAAAGTATGAGAAACTAAAAATAGCTTTTCATAGATTAACATTTTTTTAATTATTGTTATGCTTATTTATTTATTTTTTTAAACATGCTTCTTTTATATAGAAAATCAAATTTTAAAAATTAAATTAATAATATTTTTTAATTCTTGTTTATTTTCTTTTTCAAATTGGTACAATTCTTTTTCATTTTGTAAAATTTTACTAGTAGAAATGTTATATTTATCATTAAATTTAATAATATAATCAATATACTTTTTAATTGTATTTTGTTCTTTATAATATTCAATTAGATATAATAATTCCAAAAATACAAATTTAATATAATGTATGTCAAATTTGTTAAAAAAAGTTTCAGTCATTTTTGGTCCAAATCTATAAACAGGATTAACCATTTCATTTATGACTTTTATATTATATTGTTTAAGATATTTTGGTTGTAAGGATTTACTTGTAGTTTGAGTTTTAATGTTAATATTTTTAAAAATATTATCATGACAATAATGTATTTTTTCAGTTTCAGTGTCTTCATAAGCAAAAATGAAAATTAGTGTATTCATATTTTTTAATAAAAATAAATATAATAATCAGTTTATTCATATTTTTATTTAATATTTTTGATTAAAAAAAAAATAAAAATTAAATAATTTTATGACTATTTATAACTTATCATATATTTGTAAAATTTACAATAATGACAGAAAATGACCAATAGTTTCCATCTTTTGATTTTTTAAAAGTTATTTTCAAAGAATCACATTTACAAACTTCACTATAGTTAAAAGTATTAAGAAAATATAAAGTAAAATATTGAAAACAACCAAAATTAATTACAAAATTAGTTATAATATTATTGTTTTTAATAACACAAATATTTAAAATAATCTTTTCTCAGAAATTTAAATATTTTTTTTTAAAAAGATTCATACAATTTTCATACTTTTGAATATCTATATATGATAATTTATCTAAAATTAGTAAAATTTGATAATCACTCAAATGAATATTATCATCTCTTTTTCTCATTTGTATCAAGAATTCATTTTCAAAAAGACTACTAAACCATTTATTTACTAATCTCAGTTTGTCACATATTTTTTTCAGATGTTGATAATATGTAATTTCATAGTAATGATAAAAATATTTTTTGATATTTTTGAAAATATCATCACACAAACATTTTATTATATTTAGAAAAATTTTTTTAAGAAAAACTATTTTTTATTTTATTTCATTTAATATACTTCGTTTAAATAGATTTTTTATTTGTAATTAAAAATAAACATATTAAGTAAATTTTTATATCAAAAATTACTGATTAAGAATGAATTTCTATAATTAGATTTACTGATTTGGTAACTGATTTAATATATAGAAGGTTTTAATTAATAATTTACTTAAACAGAATTTAAATTAATATCTATTTAATATCTAGAAGGTTTTACAAAACCTAACCAATGGACTAACTAATGGACTGGTTCTACAAAACCTAACCAATAGACTAATTAATGGACTGGTTTTACAAAACCTAACCAATAGACTAACTAATAGACTGGTTTTACAAAACCTAACTAATAAACTAACTAATGGACTAACTAATAGACTACTTCTTTTAATTAAAAATTATCAGATTTTAAAAGTTGTTTTAGTCGATTCAAATTTTTCCAATGTTCATAACATGATTGAACAATACTTTTAATCAACTCAAATTTTTTGCAAAAGCGATTGATATTATGCAACATGATTGGATAAAACTTCAATCAACTTAGATTTTTGCAAAAGCAATTTGATATTATGCAACATGATTGGATGATGCTCCAATCAACTCAGATTTTTGCAAAACTAATTTGAATAAACACAGATTTTTGCAAAAGCGATTTGATATTATGCAACATGATTAGATGATGCTCCAATCAACTCAGATTTTTGTAAAACTAATTTAAATAAACTCAAATTTTTGCAAAAGCGATTTGATATTATGCAGCATGATTGGACAATGCTCCAATCGACTTAGATTTTTTGCAAAACTGATTTGAATAACTTCAGATTTTTGCAAAAGTGATTTGATATTATATAACATAATTGAACAATGCTCCAATCGACTCAGATTTTTTGCAAAACTGATTTGAATAAACTCAGATTTTTGCAAAAGTGATTTGATATTATGCAACATGATTGGATGATGCTCCAATTGACTCAGATTTTTTACAAAACTAATTCAAATAAACTCGGATTTTTGCAAAAGCAATTTGATATTATACAATATAATTAGTATATTTAATATAATAGTATTGTTAAATTTAATATTTTTTATTAATTATTTAAAAAAAATTTTACATTTGCCAGAAATATTAATAGAATTATTGATATTAATATTAATATTACTATCTTTATCTAATTCAATATTATCAATTATATTAATAATTTTTTTTTGTTTTTGTTTTTTAGTAGAATTCTTGATTTCTCTAAATTTTCTTTTTAATGGCATTAAAGCTTGTCCAGTTTTGACAATTTCTTTGATTTCAGGTCCAAAATTATTGTTATCTTGAACAGTTGCATGATATTTATTACTATTATATAGTAAAATTTCTTGAATGTTATTTTGAGTAGTGACAAAATTAAAGTTTTTTTTTCATTGAATACAATTAATTTCTTTTATATTTTCGAATCTCTCTTTTTATTTTTCTAAAATTTTCTGATAATCAGTTTTATGATATTTTGAAAATAATTTTTCAAATTAGTGACTGATACTTTAATTTTATAAGAAGCATTGCAAATATCACATTTAAGTTTGGTATTTTCAATATTAGGATAAAAATAATTTTGAATTTTATGAATATTTCTCATTTTGATTTTGGATTTATTTTTTTTAATGATTCTTTTTTATAATTAATTTATAATATCAATTTGAAATATATAATCGATTTTATTTCTTAATTGTTATAAAATACTGATTTATTTTTACTAATCAGTATATTTACTGATTAGAATTAAACAATTTTAATAATTTCCATATCAGAAATTACAAATTTGGTTATATTATTTGATATGATTGAATTTCCAAATCAGATTTACTGATTTAGATACAATGTTCGAATTTCACTATAAAGAAATTTCTAATTAATAATTATCTAAAAAGAAAAAGTAAGAAACTAATCAAAATTGTAGATAACAATTTAAGGTTTGATGTTTGAATACTTGTGATCATTTTTTGTACTTAAAAGAAAATTAATTATTAATCGATGACCAAACCAAATCTATAAAATTACTGATTCAAAATCCTGTTTAGTACAAATTACTAATGAATAAACTAAATTCTAAATTAGAAATATGAATTTAGCATTTATATTGATCAATTAATGTCTATGAAATAAAATTAAAAAACTTAGTTTTTTTTTTTTTTCTCCAAACATCTATAAAAAACCAAAAAATTCATTCTACTTGGACTTCAGAATCATAATGATTTGCTCAAATATTACTAAGTTCAGCTTTAGATATTCAGAAATAATTAAAAAATAATTACTTTAAAATGAATAGAGATGTAATAACATATTATGAATGTTTTTCTTCAATTAAATACAAGATTATGAGTGAATCATTCGTGATTCAAAATAGCATATCTTGGCACAATATCGATTTTAATTGATCTTATGTTCGTATTTACAAACAATGTAAACCAAAAGAAAAATTTGATTTTCTTGAACATGTAATAGAAGTAAAATTAAAAGATTATTTTATTTACAAATGTAAAAAGAATCATGAATTTTATGAACATCTTTGGCAATA